GCGTTTTTCTGCGTGTTCTCAGAAGTTAATGAGAACGTGGGACAGAGTACAGGTTAAGGCATAGGAAGTACTGGAAATCACGATTGCTGAAGTTTAGAGATTCATCCAAATAGCTCATTGGGAGTGCAAAGGATGAGCAGCACAGCCAGAAGCCAGGACAGGTAGCTCTAATGCAAAGGATTGAAAGCACAACAGAAAGAGCTGACGCTAATCTCCAAAGAAACGAGATCGAACTCGAGCTGATTAGTCAAGCTCATTATACCGCCGAAATCGGTCTATTTATCAAAGGCTTTTATAAAAGGATGCAAAAACAGAGCATTAATCAGGCATATCAATTGCAGGCCTAAAATCCGACTGGAGCTCACAAAGGCTGGTTATTTTCCAGAATGGAAGTCACATTATACGGTAAAGGAGATACTGATCCACACATAAACCTCGCTATTTTTCCACTTCGATAATAAGATCGGAATTAAAGATGCTTTAGTCGGATCAACGTTCATAAAAAACCGGTGGTACGAAAGTTAGAAAACAGAAATTGTTTGCCAAATAAGTTTCGTATAACGTCTGGAATACACCAATAAGGAGGTTTATAAAGAGAAATCCAGATCGGCTAAAGTAAAGGAAGTTCAATAAAGAGACTCTACTCTTTTCAGAAAGAATCGCTCCATACCAAATAAGTAAATACACATCTGCATTTGTACACCACAACATATAAGGAGAAAGTGTTTTACCAAAAAGTTTCCTCCTTGTAATTTTTTCAAAAACCTATCGCTGGTAGAGGAATCGCTGCTAATTTCCACCATATTTCCACGCCAACTCTCAACCCACGAAAAAGAACAACATTTTTTGGAAAATAAGCAAGGAAAAAAGTCGTACATATCCAGAAAGCTCCTCTCACGGGGAAGGTCTCTCAGGAAATGCCCAGCTTTCTCAACCGGTTTTGCATGATATAGGGGTACGTGCATGGAACACAGAACTGTAGTTCATTTTTCCTGAGCGGCCTCTGAATACTAAAAAGGGGTGATGAAGTGGTCCGTGGTTCGAATCCTCGCAGTGACAAATTTTTGCATTTTGTGTTGGCGTTTCAAAATTCGCGAAAAATAGCGTCAGCGTAAACAACTTATGTCATATCTATAATTAGGACCATCAGCAACCTTTATACGTAGACTTTGGCTAAAAAAACTGGTGAAGAAAGTTAAGAACGGCAGTTCCTTAAGAATTTTCTTCGCTCCTTTTTTGGTATTCAGAGCGCTCAGAAAAATGAACCACAGTTCTGCGTTCTACGCACGTACATCTATATCACGCAAAAAACCATTTTCGAAAAGGCTGGCATTTCCTGCTCCCTTTGTCATTGATGTCACATAGTCTTGAGCCCGAGAGACTTGAACATTTCAATGCTTTCTCAGGTACAATTTTAGCAAGTAAACTTTATAAATGGCTCCGTTTAGACCAGAATGAATTCCTCAAATGCCCCACCCCGTAAGAGCGGATCAGCGTCACTCTAAGTTACTTTCAGCTAATAAAATCTGCATTTATTCATTAGAGTAAGCTGTATAAGACAGTCGCGTGAAATAAGTGAAATTGATGGCAAAACCAACTATAATAGAGTAGTACAATGAAAAAAAAACCTAATAAAAAGAATCGAAAAAATTCAGCTAGAACTCGGGTTGCTTCAAACGAAGATATAATTCGACTTCATCAGAAATTAATCTCGAGTCTGCATGTCGAAAATAACAGAATCGCGTACTGTCCACGAAAGAGACCCAGAACACCAATGAATTTTTTGAACATGTAGCATAGCGTGCTAAAACAGAATTCTGCTCAGACTTTCATGGAATTGGCTGAAGGGTTTGGAGTCGATTAACCAACTGTTATACGGCGTTTAGGATTACCGGGACAAATCCAGAAAGAAGGGAGATGTCTGCCATATAAGCTGACCGAAGCTGCCGCTGCTAGTCGTTTAGATATCGCAACTTCTTTGCTTTTTAGACACAAAAGCTTTTTTGCGACGTACTGTGATCGAAGACAAAAACTGAATTTTATTCGACAATATGAAGCGCATGAAGTGATAGTTTACCTGGTCCAGCATAATCGGTTTCAAAACGAAACGTAAACACACGATAATCGTATAACTTCGTATAATTCAATTGAGAGGAGGTCCCTATTTTACTGAGTTCCGCAACCTGATGGAACCACCTTCCAGCTTGATTACTACAAGTCCAGCCTAGAGCGTGATCGTATTATTTATTATTATTTGCGTACATGGACGCGCTCCTGCCATCTAGCAGGAGGGTACCTTGGGCAGGCCAATTGAGAGGTTGCTAGTAACCAAACATAAACAAGTAGGGAAAAAAAAATCTCAACAACGAAAAATAAAACAACTAGCAAAGGAGAGACAGCACCGAACCGATAAGGCATAAAATGATCTGCGACTGGAAGATGAAGGCAGAGACAAGGAGGAAGGAGTGAATAAAGAAAACTTACCAGTCAAGCGATGGTATGGCGCAGTTAGTAGAGATCTAACACGGTAGGAGAGTTCATCCAAAAAAAGGTGAGGGGATGAAGGTGCTCAAAGTCCTTCATTAGCGCATTTATCAGTGGCGACTCGTGACACGGACCCGCACCAGTCGGCTATGGTGCCCGATCGCCACACCAGGGGTCATAGGGGCTAACCGGAACTTCGAGACACGGGTATACCGACTACCCACGTGGAACCGGCTAGCTGGGTGAGTGTTCCACGGAACCAGCCACTGGCATGCACTTAATTCCGGACTTGACACCTCCGTACTCCGTGAACACGGGGAGTAAAGAGTGTTAGTATGGACAGGGAACATCATGGGTGTTCAACTTCAGAGGGCTGTGGCCGGGTAGTGTGGCAAATATGAACCGCTTGACGGACAAGCCCAGTGGATTACAACAGGATTACTGACAGAATAAGGAACAACAGCATCAGAGAGCGTCGGTAATGCCAAGAAGATCCAATATGTTGATTCTTTTTGATAGATGTCTTGAACTGATTTGAGTCATTAAGTTCCAAAAGATGTGAGGGCAGCGATTCCAACCACTTGGCTGCACGAACAATGAAACAATGCGACCTCAGCTCTCTTCGCCACTTGCCCATTTTCAGGTGGTGGATTCCAAGATGAACAGTTCGTCCAGAAGTTGGTCGGAATGTCCAATATTTTGATGGTTTATTGCGAAGCTCGCCCTTGAGAAGTTTGAATGCTAGAATCAAATCAGATTGAATACGTCTATAGAATAGACTTTTCAAGTTCAATTTTTGGAGACGGGCTTGATAGGACGGCAGAGCTCTAGGATAGTCCTTGTTAGGAAATGCTCGGTAAAATAGAATCCTAGTGAATGTTTTTTGGACCTTTTCGATTTTCTGAATGTCCCGTAGTAAGGAGGGGCTCCAGACAGAACTACAGTATTCCAACACAGGAAGACATACATTTTGTAAAGTTTTATCCATATTGAGGAGTCAGTAGTGTGTATAGTCCTGAAGAGAAGGTGTACAAGTTGAAGTCCTTTTCTCGAGATATCATCTATGTGGACACCCCATCTCAAATCATTGGAAATCCTGACTCCGAGATCTTTGATACAGTCCACTTCTGTTACATGGCTACCATCAGGAAAACATATTTTTAGCTGAGGAGAACCCAATGAAAGCAAGTGGGTTTTTTTGAGGTTGACAACTAGTCCCCATCGGGCACACCAGGCCTGCATATTCTCAACGGCTTCGTTTAGCAGCATCTGTGCTTCATCTCTATTTTTTTCGTCGAATGCTACAGATACCTTTATGTCATCAGCGTACGCTGCAACATGAACCTTGCTGTTTGTCTTGAGGCATTTCAAAAGATCATAAGTGTATATCAGGAATAAAAGAGGAGACAAGCTGCCTCCTTGGGGAACTCCCGAGGTGTAGGTTCTAGGAGCGGACACATAGTCAGAAAGGCGCACACTTAGTTTCCAGTCTGCAAGGTAGGACTGGAACCATTTAAGTTCCCTTCCATGAACACCTATGCTCTCTAGTTTCCTAAGGAGGCTAGATCTGCATAAGGTATCGAATGCCTTACTCAAGTCGAAGTACACAGCGTTGACTTTTTGTCCAGGAATTAATTGCTTCTATCCAGAAATGTGTACAGTCAATTAATTGGGTGCATGTGGAGGAACCAGGCAGAAAGCCATGTTGCTCGAGAGAGATGCACTGGAGTTCAGAGACCCACTCTGTTAACAATCTTCTCCAAAACTTTGAGAGGTGTAGGCAAAATGCTTATTGGTCTGAAGTTGGTGACTGATTTTGAATCAGTGGTTTTAGGGATAGGCGTCACGATAGCATGCTTCCAAACAGACGGTACTTGCCCCAGAAGAAAAGAGATATTATATATATGAGCAAGAGGCACGGAGAGCTCCTTCGCGAATATTTTGAAAACTAATTGTGGTAATCCATCAGAAGTTGGGGAAACAGAAGGCTTTAAAGAACGCATAATTTTGTGCACCATTTGCGGAGTTACGACTGGGAACTTTAAATACTTGTTTGTTATGGGGGGCAGAGTTTGGCTGCTCACAGAAAAAGGAATGAAGACGCTTTCAAAGTAGTCCGCGAGGGCTTCTGCCTTGTCCCGGTCTGTTGAATATTTTTCACCGTTGCGCCCCTCGAGAATATGCGAGACTGGTGGCTGTTTGAGGAACTTATTAGCATGAGCTGCCAAGTATTTAAGATTGCCTTTTTGAGCCAACTTCTTAATCCTGTAAGCTTGGAAGCGCTTCAAATGATGGTCAAGTTTTCTACTTACATCGAGGAAAGCATTAGAGACCATAGGATTGTTAGCCTGGCGGAACAGCCTTTCACGTTGCTGGATTAAGTTCACTATGTGCCGGGGATAGCTTGACTTATACCCTGATCTTCGTTTTAAAGGAACGAACTGATCGATTATGGCATGAATAATGTTGCAAAACCGCGTATAGGTATCGTCTACTGTGTGATAATTCGAAAACACCTGCATCCAGTCAATATGTGCGATATGATATGAAATGGCACCTTTGTTCATTTCCCTAAAGTCCCTTGAGACTTGGGCTACCTCCTCTTTTTTGTCCTCCACTAAGGAAAATCTCACAATGTTGTGATCGGAGGAGTGTAACGGGGGTAGAGCATATATTTGAGAAACACGATGTTGAGGTGCTAGAACAATGTCTAAGATTGTGCCAAGCCTGGTGGGAAAGTCAACGAATTGCGCAAGGGATAGAGCATCGAAAGTCGATAAAAATTTCTCCGCCATGGCGGACTCAGCAGTGTGAGATTTCCAATCGATGTCAAGGTTTAGATCCCCCACCACTGTTGTGGAAAAGGGCACAGAGCCCGCCAGATCAACTATAATCGATATGAGATGCTCATCGTGGGCACTGGTAGAGTTGGGTGGACGGTAAATCAACAGAAAACGGTGCCTGGATGGTAGAAAAGTGTCAAAACATAACACATCAGGATAGTAAGTCACCTGTATGGAATCGTATTTCTTCGAAAGATACAAGGCAGTGGATTAGTGCGCATACTCCTCCACCTTTACGGCTAGATCTATCTTTCCTAACTACAGAATATGGCAATCCGGCGCTAATCTCGGAGTCAGGAACTTTGCTACTCAACCAAGATTCGGTCACAAAAACAAGATGAGGCTTTGAAGTACTTAACAAGGCAATGTAGATGGGGCAACTTATTAACAAGGCTGCGAGCATTAATCAATAGGCATGTGGAAGTGAAGGTGGACCTGAGGGAGGATTTTTTGGAAAAAACGAAGAGAATTCTTTATTTTTTTAGTTGAAGGAATGTCAGATGCCTTCATGAGCTCCCCTTTATAGACTACATAAACGTGCTCACCGTTATGTTCCTTCAGATTCAACTCACGCGCTTGATTTCTCAAATCTTTCTCTTTTTGACGCTCGTCGCGGGTCATCGATTTGCGAATGTAGATCTCCTTGAAGGCAGGAATGGCGTGCAGTTTGCGGGCTCTTGACAAGAACTTCAAAAAGATAATGTCGAGATGAGAAGATACATTTGACAAGCCTGGGTTTCCCTTGAATCACCGAGCCCATCCGATAGATCTCTACCGGGTGGGTTTCGATGTCAAGAGCGTCGAGAACACTTGTAACGAAAGATTCTGTGTGGGCTTGGCGCTGAGATGGGGCAAGAGTTTTCTCGGCTTCTGGAACACCATACAAAACTATTGAGCGCTGGCGTTTGTCCGCCTCGACTACTTCACGCGAGAAAGAAGACAGTGAACTCACGAATTTTTCCAAGAGTGGAATCCCTTCTGGCGCTTTTTCAGTCAGTAGGCCATGAATTTTTTCAAGAAGATGAATACTATCAGAACTGAGGAATGGCAGGTTCGATGCTTTAGTGGCTACGGGCGAGAATAGAGTTTGGGGTCTAGGCAGATTGGGAATAGGGTTGGAGTCCATCGATCAACCGACCGATCGCGGCGGGTGCAGGCGAATTGACGCGCTCTTTTATTTTTCTCGTTTTAATATTTACTTTTTTTC